TAGCTGCAAAAATCAAGAAGTTTTGTTCTACAAATAAAGTTGGCGTTATTGCGTGTTAAAAATTACTCATTACAACACCGAGAATTTAAACATTATCCCAGCATAACGCTGAAAAATTATAATTCACAGATAAGCAACCCACATTTTGGGCATTCTGTGAACATATCAATTATATATACCAACTTTTGAAAATTCACTGATAAATTACATATTGCTTTAGTCATTAATAATATCCGAAATATATCTATGCACTACAGGTTTCAAAGTACTCGCGGAAGAAAAACTCTTCTATGAAACAGAAGTCTAACATTCTTGCAGTGAAGCAATAATGCCATGAAAACCGATGGAATTATGCCCGTTATTACATATTTCTTAAGTTGTTCGTCTATTTTCCTGATTAACCTTTCTTTCTTGCAGCGAGGGCTACAGCTTTGTCGAGGCTTTTACAGAAGTTGCTTTCCACCAACAGGAGAAGGTAGTAACTATGTCTTCAGTATACCTGAGGTATCGAATTGTTGGGCTGGCTGTGATCGCTGCAATGTTGCCATGAGAATCTGCACAGTTAATGTCTCGTTTGTAAATCTATTTACATTCCCAACTCATTAAAGTGTAAATCAGGCGAGTCTAGCTTACCAGCAAAGCTATCATATTCGAAAGACTGTTAGGCTTCGTTATAATAGCAATCCTTTAAGAAACAAGTATTTTTATATCACTTTACGGAGCAGTTTTTTTATGTGCTAGCAGTCATACTAAAGTACAACATAAAACATTTATTTAAACAGAACGTAAATGATAGTCTGATTTGACTTGTCTAGTCTACTGCCGGTGCTTCGACTTCGATCTCATTGGTCATAAATGATTTAAAGGAAAAACCGGTAGCTGTTTCGGCACGCTGGATCATTAAGTGAAACTGCGAAACGACATACTCCAGTTGTGAAACAGATTAGATTAATCCCAACAGGACACCAAAAGCTCTCTCTGAAGAATCCAAATCAGCGAGACATGGGCCGAAACACTGGGGCGTCAATCACTCAAGAGAAAATCTGATTTGCTTTATTAAAACAAGGACAGTTTAGGCCGTATTTCAATTTAATAATTTATAACCATTCAAAAACAGCGATCGTGTGCACCATTCAAAAATGTTCAAAGTCTAATTTACCGACAAACGATGCACGCATGAATTAATGCGCTACTCGCAACCGGTGTCATAATATAAGCTTGTTAAAAAACT